GAAATGAGATGGGCACACTGAGAGGAGGCAGGTGGGCAAGCAGTCAGAACTGGGCCTTACATCAAACAAGGGTTTTGCTTGGAGAGGGGTCACAGCACTTTTCCTTTTTCATCTCCCCCAAAATTGCCAGCAAGGGCCCATGTGTTTTGAAATCTATTGTATTCATGTTCACAGATGTTTGCATACAAACATTGTAGGTAGAGATTCGCAAATACTGAAACTGCAACCCAGGGATATTGCTAGTGGATAACTTGTGGGTGTGGGGTCCCAGGTATTTCATGCTGGGCCCTGAATCACCTGCCCATCCACCTCTTTTAATGTTTTCCTTTGTTTACAGTGGGTGTAGGGAACCTTTGGTTCTCCAGATGTTGCTGAATTACAACTCGCATGATTCCTGGCCGTGGGCTATGCTTGATAGAACTCATAGGAACTTTTGTTCAGCAACGTCTGGAGGGCCAAAAGTTCCTCATATCTGGTTTACATAACTCCTGGGCATGTTGCAGAACATGGTGTCCCAGGCACCTGCCATCTCTGTTTCTTCAGCAACCTAAATTTGGATCTGTACATATAAATGAGCACACACAATTTTTGTGTCATGGGCCTTTGTGGGTCTTGAGTCTGTGTGTGTTGTGGCAGCAACATGAAAGTCTTTTTGACCAGTGTTGTATCTATCTAGCTCAGTATTGTCTACACTGAATTTCAGATGGAGTCCTCTTCCCCCAGCTGTACTCGGAGATTCTGAGGGCCTTCTGGATACAAAGCCAGGTGCTCTACCATTGTCCTGTGGCTCTTCTCGCTTTAGATCCAATGTTGTGCAATAGCCTATTCTGGACAGGGTTGCACTTCTCCTGAAGACATTGTTATGTAGTTTAAAGGCTCTCCTTGAATCATGGTTGTCACTACAGGCCCAAGTGGCTTTGGTGGCAGGAGTACCCATGAGTTGGCAATTGCCTTGCCGGCTGCCCTTGGTTGTAGATTGTGTTCAGGTGCTTAAGTTTAAAGTGCTTAACAGCTTGGGCACCAAATATCTGCAAAAAACTACTTGTCTCCTATACACCTGCCTATGCCTTGAGCTCTGCAGATGAGTCTCTGTGCAGAGGCTCCAGGAATGGCCTGAGGTTTGCATTCTGGGGGACTCAGGTTTGCAACTGAATATAGTGGAACCTCAGTTTTCAAACATAATCTGTTCCAGAAGACCGTTTGACTTCCGAAATGTTTGAAAACCGAGGAGCAATGGGCGGTTGGCAAAATCCATTGAGAAAAAAGAAAACCACGCAGTGGAAGCCATTCGACTTCTGAGTTGCGTTGAAAAATGGAAGCAATTACTTCCGGGTTTTTTGCTTCCGAAATGTTCAGCTTCCAAGACTCTCGAAAACTGAGGTTCCACTGTACAAGGTTGCATTCGGTTGGCCATGCCCATTTATTTCATCTCTCAAGTTGGACTAAGATTGGAGGCAACCCTGAATTTGGGAACTTTCAGCATACAGAGCACATGCTCAGCCATTGATTCAGCTGTGGCTGGTCCATTGGGGTGAAAGTGGCGCTGCCTCACCAACCTCAGTCTGCTTCCAGCCAGCCCTCATCTGCTTGTCTTCTTACTTACAAGGCTGCCTGTCAGTTTCCTTCTCCGGAGTCTCTGGTGTTTCCCTCCACCAGCAGGGAGGAGGTGGGAAACTAAAGTAGAACTAGCTGCCCCCACCTGTCCTTGCCTCTGGCTCCACCTATCATTGGGCTCCCTGTCTTGCACCCCGCATAAGCCACCACTGCACTGATCTATAGTCCCTCCCACTTAATGTGATTATTGGTCCATCCACTCCCAGCCTATTTTCATTGACACTGGCTCTGCAGCCTGTCAGGCAAAGGTTTTCCCCAGCAGGGCTAGTTGAGATCCTTTTAAACAGAGGGATTGAAGCCTTCTGCCTGCAGAGCAGGTGTTCTGCCACTGAGCTACAGTCCCTCCCAAGCGCTCTGCTTTGACTGCAGTTATCTTCATGTTTGCTTAAACCTTTGAAGTGCTGATTTATTTCTCAAGCTTGTGCAGCAAACGTTTTTTCCTTTTCTTTTTTGCGGTTTGAACTGCTTTTAAAGGACAGGATACCAGGTACATGTGCTTCAGCCACGCTCTAGGAGTCTTACTTGACACAATGCTGCCACTGGCTGGATGTTTTGTGGTATTGCACATGGAGTTTTATCTAAGTCAGTGGTTCTCAAAATCAGCCCCCCCCCCCCAAGGATCCCTTGAAAATTGGCTGAGTGTCTTTGCCAACTACTTAATTATCTTTCTACCAGTTATACTAATTGTAACATGCTGTGTTAGAGGCTGTTTGATTCTTATTTCTTATATGCTGCATTTTACTAAATTTAAATTGAAACACAATAAAATACAATAGAAGAAATAGGGAAAGCAATAAAAATACAATCAAAAATCTACACGAATATTTAAAGTGATGGATTTGCCATTACCTCTCTTCAACCACAAATCCAGAGAAATGCAACAGACTACCTGAATGCAAGTTGCAGACCATTGTCCGCGGACAACAGTTTGGGAATCCCGATCAAGGCTTGAGCCACAAAAATGAATGTTACTTTTGTACACTGGGCAGTTTCTACACGTAGACTCTATTGTCCATCTGGGGAGATTGCAAAGGGCAGGAGGAGGTTCCCCATCCCTACTTAACTTCACTACGGTGCTTTATGTTTCCTTTTACACATTCTAGATCAATAGAAAGGTGTGATTTAATTTGTTAAATCTCAGGATGCCCCAAGACACTCTTGATTTGGTTTGGTTTTGTAGGTGGGGAGTAGTCCTCAGTGTTAACCCAATGAAGAATCTTTAGTGTAAAACTCTCCAAGATGATAATTGAAGCCAGTGATAGCAACAAGGCACCTTTGCACAGAACTAGAAAATTCTGAAGTGAAATGGTTACTTGGTATTTTGATGCTGGCTTTTAAAAAATTCATGCAGAAATATCTGAATTTGGAATGTTTTTCACATTCTTCCTTTGCATGACAAGGAAGTTATTTCCCAGGGTGAGAGTTCCTGGACCAAATGAAGCTTAAGTGAAGGTGCCAACTGTGTAGGCAAGGTTAAGAAGCTGCTGCTTTTTTGGTACAAGCCCCTAATGTAATGTTAGGTGTGTGTACAAATGTTCCCTGCTTATGAGAGTAGTCTTCTGAAGTCTTGATTGTCTGAGAAGCCACTTTCCCCTTAAGTGGGGAGATGCTGTTTAGGCATCAATTCTAGCACCTTTTGACTTCTGATTTCTCTGTACTGATGGGGAAGACAACCTCATTTCCTTGCAACTTGTTTCTGCTCCTTTGTGCGTCTGCTTAGGGAGTGTGTTGGCTGGCTAACCCAAAGCCATTGCCCATAACTTTGTTCTTTGTTGCTCCTTTTCAGAGCAAACGGGACCACCTTCTCATGAACGTCAAATGGTACTACCGCCAGTCTGAAGTTCCAGATTCTGTGTACCAGCATTTAGTTCAGGACCGACATAACGAAAATGGTAAGCTGAGCTCCAGACGTGGTTAGCATCCCTTGCTGCCTGTGATGCTTTTTTCTGTCTGTCTGTTCATTATAGCAGCATTCTGCCATTCCTTTGGAAAGCCCAGACCGGCTTATATTGGGCTTCTCAGACTGTCTTCCACATGGACAGTGATCATGTTGAGACCTACTTAGCTTTAGCAATCTAGGAGAATCACTGTGCTTTCGGACCATTGTCTGAGACATGAGGAGGCAGGCAAGAGGAGACGCCTTGGATTGAGACAGATGTCCTTATTGACTCCAAAAACTCTCCCTCTACCCTGCTGCCCTATTCCCTTCATGCTGTTTCTCACCACATGAGGGCTAGAAATGTATACTTTCAGAAGAAAAGGAATTGCCAGTGTGGTGCCCTATGGTCACCAGAAGGTGAGGGTGGCTATTTTCTTCTCAGTTAAGAAATCAGTGGAGATGAAGGCGGAAGTTGGAAGAATGGCACTCATTCCCACTTCCTCTTTCAGCTCTATGGACTTTTCAAGGCTCAGACTAATTCTGTTGGATCCGATTTCCCCACCAGATTCCTTGGAAGAGTGAAATATGCATGCATGTGGTTCTCTCCCCCCCCCCCCGCCCCCGGTGTCTTGTGGGTGGAGGGGAGTAACCATTAGTGTCCATAGCACTTGCTCAGAAATCCAGTTGTGCCTATGGGCCTAAAAGGGTGATCAGCCTCTTTTGGGGGGGATTCCTTTGCAGGTGGGGGATGGTGGGAAAATTCTTGACTTCTGAGCTATGCCCGCCCCCTCAAAATGTGTGCTTTACATCTCAATATCTTTCTGTGTCTCTAAACTTCTGCTTTGGTTGCCTTTGCTCCTGGGAGTGAGTGGCTGATGTCGATATTTTTGAGGCATCACAGTTGAACTTGTGTGATTTTCTTTCCACAGATTCTGGGCGTGAGCTGGTTATTACCGACCCAGTGATCAAGAACAGAGAGCTTTTCATTTCGGACTATGTTGACACCTATCATGCTGCTGCCCTCAGGTAAGCTGTCAAGAGTCCATTGCGGAGAAGACTTTGTAACAAGCTCTAGAAAGGCCAAGAATGTTAACCAGGAGAATGTTCTGAATCTCTTTCCATCTATTTTTTTAAAAAAATGTTTTCATTGCGGATATTGCTAGTCTCCTGATGAAATCTTCCTCCCCCCTTGCCCACATCTAATAATTTTTGTTATCTACGGTAGTTTAGACAGTGACTTAAAGATTTTGCTTTGGAGTCTGACTAACAGAGCAATCCTATCCAAGTAAGTCCTATTGAATTCAATTGAGTTTACTCCCTGGTAAGTGTGGTTCAGATTGCAGCCAAAGTGAATGGAACTAGGGTCTCACTGAAATAAATGAGTTAAGTTAGTCACAACTTGGTTAATATTGCAGTCAGTGAGATCTGGTTACAGATAGGTAGCCGTGTTGGTCTGCCGTAGTTGAAACAAAATAAAAAAATTCCATTCAGTAGCATCTTAGAGACCAGCTAAGTTTGTTATTGGTATGAGTTTTCGTGTGCATGCACACTTCTTCAGATACCTGAAGTACCAAGTATCTGAAGAAGTGTGCAAGCACGTGAAAGCTCATACCAATAACAAACTTTGCTGGTCTCTAAGGTGCTACTGAGTGAGATCTGGGTCACTATTAACTTGATCCATTTATTTTAGTGGATTTAGCCCTCTGATTTTTGTTCTCTCTTCCTGTCACGTGTTCTTGCTTATGTCCCTTGGTTTTATTTGATTTTTTTTGTTTGTTTGATTGTTTTGACTGTGTACTGCTTGGATTGCATGGTGCTGAAAAACAAATTGCTATATTTGGATAGGCCCACAGCACTGGTTCCTCTTTGCTTTTCTGCATTCTACTGAGGTGTGAAGGGAAACTAAGAGAAGCTAGCTGTGCATCTGACATGTGCATAGGTCAGTTTTATGGATATTTGCCAACTTTATGTGTCTGATCCTGCAAACCTTTTCCCCAAATGCGTACATGCATCTTGATCATCTGTGTTGGGAATACTCACGTCTGACATAGCTGTTGAGAGTTACATGGTAAACTACGGCAATATCTTGGCCAATGCCAAAAGTGCACTTCCTTTATTTGCAGTATTTTTATTTGGAATTTGATTGTGTCCCATGTCCCAAGATTGATAGATGTGTGGGCCTGACCTGTATTATTGAGTCTTGTGGAGTAAACTTGGAAAGAAGCTAACGTGAAGGAATTGCAGGGCCAGAGTTCTGTTCCTTTTCTATCAGGAATGATCTTGCATAGGAGATTTTAAAACTTGAACAGCTCCTGACCTGGAGAAGAAGCCGGAGCCAAATTTATACCTGTCCATAGCAAAAGTGAAGGTTGCACTTGCTGCCATCTTTCTGAACTTCTGCCGTTTATCTTGCCTATTCTTTTTCGCTATCAGCCTCCTGCAACCAACCATCCAGCCTGAGTAAGCCCCCCAAAAGTTTGAGACTTTTTTATTTTTTAAAAAGATGGTCTGTCTGGGAAAGTAGTCCTTGGGAGTATACTTGGAAATTCCCAATCAAAGCAAGTATTATATAAAACTGTGGGTCTAGAAAACTCACTTGTTTGGCGGTGATGATCATATTAAAGCACGATGTAGCAAAAGGTTTGTCATTTGCCCCAAGAGCCATGAGGACTTGGATCTCACTTTTTTTCAAGAGAGAGAAAGAGAAAGATGAGAGTTCCTTGGGCTTTCAACAATAGCCAGACAGCCACTCCGATGCTGCTGACCCATGCCTTGTGTGGTCTGTCTTTCTCTTCATCCCTGCCCTGGTCTCTCCTCCTTTCCCCCCTTTGTTGGTTTAATGAGTAAAGACCTAACCATTCATCTTTGGGGAATAAGTCAATGCTTGTGGTGAATTCAAATGAAAATGCTGTTGGCATCATGCATCTCATTTTCAGGCATGCAGGAAGAGCACATGGATATTGTCAAAACGTGAACTGAATGATCTCCCTGCTGATAATGCTCAGATGGTGTTTTAAGTAAAGCCATCTGGAGACATTTTCCCTGTTCAAAGCCACTTTGCTGAAGCTGCTTCCTTCAAGTCAAGTCAGCTGTAACCTCTGCTGTAGGGGAGGGAAACAGACCTTTTGATTTGACTTATTACAGAGCTGTTGTTTTCTAAGATAAACCTGGCAAATTCCGCTCACTCGCTGTAATCTTCTCCAGAATACCAGAGTGCTTTTTATATCTCAAGGAAGCTGACTTTTTAGTCTGAAATTGGCATGCTGAGAGGAGAGCGCAAGCTAATGTGAGCTGAGCTGGATTGATGGTGTCGGGCTTGAAAATTTAATTGTCGGCTCATATGCTCAGGAAGGGGTTTGTATGTGTGTAATTTTCCCTGAGGATCTTTCACAGCAGTCCTCTTGTATTGTCATTGGCTCTTAATCTTGCAAAGTTACAGGAGGGTGATAACAGTGGGAGGAAAATCTTTTTAATTTATTTGCGCTGAGCGTTCTTCAAAGGTGATGATCTTCAGTCAACACCTGTGACCCTCCTCTGGGACATCTAACCACATCATCTGATTTTAGCCACATGGTGACTAGGGAAAGAGCATTTTGGTTTGTGGTGCCCTCCTCAGTCCGGCTCACCTGGTGCCAACATGGTTGCCATATTGGTGCCAGGCCTTTTTATTTACTCGGTCATTTCGGCGTGTACAGTGGTACCTCGGGTTACAGACGCTTCAGGTTGCGCACCACGCCGAACCTGGAAGTACCAGAACGGGTTACCTCTGGGTTTCGGCACTCGTACATGCACAGAAGCGCCGAATCGCGACCCACACGGGCACAGGCACGGCGCTGCGGGTTGCGAACTTGCCTCCCGCTCGGATCACATTCGCAACCCGAGGTTCCACTGTAATATAAGTTGCCTTGATGATGCTTTAATCCATTCTTCTGCATTTAATGGCTTTGTTTTAATAGCTGCTGCTCTTGTTTTATGAGTATTTCTGTTGGGGTTTGTGTATTTACTGTTGTTTGTTGTTTATGCTGCCTTTTGAATTTTAACTGAAAGGTAGCAGAAACATTTTCTAAATGAATGAATGCTGTAAGTAGAGATTTCACCTGCCTTTCTTTATTGAGAAATTTTGGGAGCCTCATTTTAAAAAAGAAAAGTCCTGTTGGATCTGAGGAAAGGTCCATGAATTCCAGTATCTTCTTTCCCACAATGGCCAGTGAGGTGCCTCCTGGGAAGCCTTCAAGCAGGGCATCTCCTGCTATTGCTCCCCAGCATCTGGCATTCAGTGTCACACCCCTCCCGAACCTCGAAGTCACTTTTGCCATCATGGCTTATGGCTCCACTGAAATGAATGGAGACTTAAAGTGGCCTTCCAGAGCAAAGCCCTATTGAAACGAATAGGTATTACGCAGCTGCAGTACTCAGGTGTGGCTGCACTCGGACTGCACCCCCGTTCATCACCATGATGCCAGATGATTGGCAGGTGGGTGGCTATGCTCTTCCTCAGTCTTTTTTGCCTGTTGCTGATGGAAGAAACCCCAGTTGAAGAACTTGAAGGCAGCTGGTTCTATGGGACAAAAGAATGTAGCTTAGGTTACACCATTACCCACCCATTCATCTTCCTGATATCCTGCTGAGAGGAGCTTATCATCTAAATCTAAATTTAGCTGGGGCAAGAGAAATGAGAGGCATGAATAGTAAGGGATTAATGTGAGCAAATGTGGTTAATGTAGGTGTGTGTGTGAGAGAGAGAGCACTTAAGGGCTTTTAAGCCAACAGCTGAAAGTGAGCTGGGATTTACTGGTGGTGTTCTTGGAGGCGGCTCCTAAGCAAAAAGCGAAAGGAAGGAGAATGGGCAGAATCTTCTCCCTTCTTCTAAATCCTTGGGGACACTGCTTTCCCAGGCATGAGGCTGAATAAATAACAAGAACAAAAGATGAGCCTGCTGGATCAGGCCAGTGGCCCATCTACTCTAACATCCCGTTGTCACAGTGGCCAACCAGAGGTCTTTGAGAAACCTTCAACAGGACCTGAGCTCAGCCGCTGATCTCCACTCTCCCTGTGGTTTTCAGCAGCTGTATTCAGAAGCATCACTGCCTCTGACTGTGGAGGCAGAACATAGTCATCATCACTAGTAGCTGGAAGTAAGCTCATTGATAATTTGACAGTATCTTATATTGGTACAATAGCCGATGTTCCTGTATAGAGTTTCAGTAGCTTCAGCCACATTTTGTCTTTTTTATTTTTAGAGTTCTGTATTTGGTGTACCTAGGGTCTCCCCATATAATGTGCAGATTCCAAGTTCTGCTCTTACTTTGTTTTTTTTAATACTTTTCCACATCCTTGGACATAAAGGACCATTAGGAACTGATCTTCAGTTGAACAGGCTTGAATAGCTCCTCTTGAATTTGGAAGGCTCACAGTGACCCATGTTTGAGAACTGTTGCTGTAGGGCCGGAAAGGGGAATTTGTGGCTCTCCAGTTCTTGCTGGACTACAAATCCATCCCTGACCATTGACCATGATGACTGGGATTGATGGGAACTGTAGTCCCAACAACATCGAGAGAAGGACCACATGTTCCCCACTCCTGTTGTAGAGTCCTACCATGAGGACTAGAAACCTAATAAAATATATCATGATATTCTTTTATTTTAAGCATCTCTGAGAATCAAGGCAAATGGTCTCAGTAACTGCAGACAAACCTCCCCAGTATCATACTTGCTAAGATAAAATATTTTAAGAAGGAAAATATGTTCAGTCCTGATTTCCCACAATTGTTTTCACTTAATATGGGATTATATTCAGCTTGTTCAGTATGTCAGAAGACACATGTGGTCTTGCATTTCTTTAACCATGTTCAGTGGTAACTGCACCAGAGGGGGGAAAAGCAGGCCAGTTGCATTTATCAATACCAACAAGAAGCCTTGGCTTTTCCTTTAATTATATAAGCCGTCATCCATGTAGAGAACCTGGTCTAATGCCCCTTTTTCTCTTTCTGTCTTGCAGGGGAAAGTGTAATATCTCCCATTTCTCTGACATATTTGCTGCTAGAGAATTTAAAGCCCGGGTGGATTCCTTTTTCTACATTCTGGGCTACAATCCAGAGACAAGGTGAGTTGTTTGCCTTCCATCTACTAAGAATTTGTAGCATATGCTTTTCTGTAGGGCTATACAAGGTCTCTTACTGAGGTGGAGGATACAGGAGAGGCTGTGCTCTCCTGTTTAGTTCTTTGCTACCCTCCCAGAGGCATGGTGAGCGCTCTGCTTTTTACCTTAGTAGGTATAATTCTGCATATTTTTACAATGTAGTGCTTTATTGATACAGTACCTAGCCTGGTCATGCACATGCTCTGGGTTTATTTTTCCCATTATAAAGAGACATTTGATCACCAGGGGCTTCTAGCTAATACTGGAATCACATTTGGCCTTGGTTTATAAGGCACTTGCCTGGTGTTGACTACTCTGGTAGCAGGTTTTTTGCTATCCTGTTGTCTTTGATCCTTTAATTTGGAGATGCCTTTGGCATGCAAGCCATGTGCTCTCTTACTGACCAGTGGCCGCCCACCCACATTCAGGTTCCATTATTGATCTTGTGGGTCTCTCCCCCCTACCCCATTCCATTGATTGATGATCCAGCT